TCCCTACAGGTGTTCTCCTGGAGTTCTGCTGTCTCAGATTCAGTGAAAAGGCAACAAGATATATGTGCTGACAGGAACAAAAAATAACCCTGTTTTGTGCGTATGACTCACTTCTGCTGAACATACTGAGAGACAGAGCAATTCAGTATGGATAGGAAAGCATAGGAGAAATTTTAGTGTAAAAAAACCAACAACTTGCTTTTCATTAAAAAGCTTGTACCTGTTATAAAATGTAGTACTTACCTTTAGCATATTAAAGTGCTGCTCAATAATTGTTTTAGCTTCATAAGCAGCATGACCTTTATTGTCTACGACTCAAAAATAAAAAAGGGATTTGAACATTTTAAGTTACCTTCGAGGTTCATGCCAGCTTGAAGACATTTCCGGTAGCGGCATGCTGGACAGTTTTTCCTCCGAATTTTGTCAATAATGCAATCATTTCTCCCAGCGCACAGATAGTTGTGCTGCCCTGTGTTCACAAAGACAAACAAAATAACTGTAAGCTCTACAATTAAAGTAGTAGAAGTCATTTGCTCTTTCAGTAATGTTAAAGATCTGGGGACTATATAATACCTTTACTTACTGTATGTCATTTCTTGCAAAAATAAGATCAGTATCCATACGATTTCATATATTTATACAGCAGATAGATTGCTCATATTTTGACATCAAAGCAAATAAATTTAGGTAGAAATCCTATTTTTCTACTTGTTAACATCAGGCAAATTCTTTTTTTAAAACCATTTCTCTCTTACATTTCTCAAAGCTATCTCCTATAGCACGTTTCCAATTTCCCTAAATAGCTTCACAAGAGGTGTAAATAATGGTCATAAACACATTTTGAAAGTATACATGTAAAAGTTTCTACAGATACATATACATAGCTTTCATCATTTTGAAAGTCATGAAATCTCCTCCTTGTTTAACTTAAGGGTCTGCAGTGGACAAACCAAGTTCTCTGACATTTTTATGGATTCATAGATTCAGAGCCAAATTGACCCTAGAAATATGACAACTTGAAATAGATAAATTAAAATAACTATTTCTTAGTTGTTAAGGGCAGGGCAACAGAAGATTAGTATCTATTTTTAATTGTTTGAATTATATGAATAAATGTCTCAATAGAACGTATTTAGAGAAAGGTATTATTAAAAGATACATCCTTCTTCCAGACAGGGATCAAGAAACACGTTTCTTTAGAGGACAGAAAGCTGCAACCTAGGCTTTTACACTATATTTCAAAATCCTGACAGTATAGTACTACGAGAAACAAACATATTTTCCAAATACTGAGTTATTAACAATGGAGTCTAAGAGTCTTCTCAGAGCAAAAGAGCTTGGTTAAGGAATTTGTTTCAAGTCAGCTCTGAAAATTATGGGTACGCAGAGTCCATTACTATGACTTTAGTCAAACTTCTCCGGTGAAGTGTTTCAAGCTCATATTCCAAGGAAGCCTTGAGCATTTTTCTGAATGAATCCCCCCCGCCTTTTCCGTTTGAAGAAGCAGAAGCCTTACCAACTCCTGTACAATCTTTAAGATAATTTAGAAAACAGGTCCATGATTCACGATTCTGTTTGCCATTAGCGTGCTAATACATACAGAACAAATACACATGCATGCACACATGAAATATAAGCCGATGAATATCTGTCATCACTGCAGTAGAACAGAGACTACAATTTCACGTCCACAAAGATGTTCCAAGAGACCATGGTTTCACACAATCAAAACATACACTTCAGGTGTGGATCTTTCTAAGCTGTTCCTTTTTTTTTTTTCTAACAGAGCTTCATTTCTGTGAAGGCACTGTTTGGTTTCTTATACTTACTACTTATCTATTCTTGCCTTTTTTAGGTGAAAGCTACGCTATTTCTTTGTATTACATTGTATTAAAGCCTTGTCACATGAATGTTGTGTGGAAAAACAAAGGGAGGTTGATGCCACCTTCTGCTTCGTGTCTGGCTGCTGCCCAGGGATGCACAAAGGAATCCATTTCAGTTACCTTTGCTGCTTAAAACCCAAAGGTACTTCACAAACAATACACTGGTAAAAACCGGTAGCGAGTAAACGGAGATGTTTCCAAGGGGTTTTATGGCAAACAGGGGCATTTTACAGAGAGGCCAGACTGTCTTCAACATTGCACAGCCCGCAGCCCAAGTTGGTGCCTGGGGCTCTGAATGAGTCTTTGCTCATTTGAGCACATCGATGTAGAAAACGGTTAGAAATTGCAGACAAAGCATTTTGGAAGATGGATTTAAAAATGCTGAAGAACAAGGACAATCTGGAGCACAGCAGGAGGGAGAGGTGTTGGGGAAATGTGAAGCGGAGGGGAGGTGTGAGGATCTGAAGGCAGGCGAGGAAGCGGAGGTGGCAGGAGTGGCGAAGATCTGGGTTGGCAGGAGGGTGTGGGTAACGTGCTGGGAGGTGAATGGGGCTGGTCCTGGGACTGGAGAAACGGAATCATGAGGGCTCTGAAGCTCCACGAAAATAAGAACTAGAACAAGATGGCTTTGGCAACCCTGGGTTCCTGAAGAAAGGCCCATTTACATGAAGAACTGCATACAAATATACAGTTGCTGTCCCATCTTCATCCTTCCTCTTCTCCTCTAGCTCTACTCTTTGATGAAAGAAATACACTTTATATTGATTTTCTAGATACTGATACTTTCAGTTTCTGTGACTATTTCCTTTACAGTACACATGCGTGTAGACAAAGGTACAAAAAAAGGGTTTGGGTTTCAGGCTAAAGGCAGGATAACCAATGTGCAGAGCCAGCTTGATCTGTATATTAACAGGTGCCCGGCAGCTATTAATAAAAAGGATATTGCAGAAACAATGCTTTTTACGTATGTTCCTAATAAGAAAAATGTCTATAACAGACAAAAGCAAAGTATTTGTTCCTTAAAGTGAATACTAGAACTAACAGATCCTGGAAGAGCTCCTGAAAACATGCACAATATCTAATTGGAAGGATTAAGGTTGGGTAATCTGTGGAACAATAAAAATGAAAGCGGAGGTAAGCCCTGAGGAATTTATATTGCAATTTTTCAGCTACAAGCCTGCTTACTTTTTTAACAATACAGTTGATATAAGACACGGCAAGTCGCATCTCTGATCAAAAGGAATTACTGGGTTGATTTCTTCATGTATCAACACTTCCATGATTTGTTGAAGTTTGAGGATGGGCAAAACCATCACTATGACATATATCTAGCTGCCATATAATACTTCTGAGGGCTATCCAGTGACCTTGTTGTAATCAAAGATACAGATGATTATTTGCTCCAAATAAAGAGCCTGGCTCTAAATGGGAGTGCAACTCCAGACAGGACCAGTTGGGAGTCATGGAGGGCCCATGCAGCTCAGTGCTTTGCACTTGAGCTCATATTGTCTTGTTATACTTCAGAAACAGCTTCAGCATCCCACAGAACTGACATCCTTTCCTGTTGTAACTAGCAAAAACTGCGATATGAACTTGTTTTTTCTGATCCCTATGAGAGGCTCTGCGTTTCCACGGAGCTCCCTATTGCATTCAGCGAGCTGGGAATCAGGAGAAAGTGCTTCTCCTGAAAGAGTGAACGGTGGCTCGTCTTTGTCAAAACAGCCTTCCCTCTTTCAGTGAAACACAACTTGTACGAACATTAGCAAAAAACAATAGTCTGATTCACTCCAAAATACCCAGTAATGGCTGCATGAAGAAGACACGAGACAGGAAATGCTGTACAGCTGTTAACTAAGAATGACATAATTTCAGAATAAAGGAATCGCAATCCTTTCACAGACACTGAGAATATACTCTAACTTTTCTGCATCTCTCTGATACTGAAGCAAAGAGTCAGACATCGAGGTACAACCTAGATCATTACAGAACAGCTACTTAGGCAGCCTAAAAATCACAGCTCATTCTGCTACACACGCTCCAGATTCACATTTAGTTTTCCATCATCTCTATTTTCCAGAATGATTTTCTTCCTCTGATTAGAGAGGAATCTCGATGATCTGAAACCACACACGTGTTCCTGTTACCTAGTTACCCCTGCAAATAACACATGGACATATGTGGATGCACACAGACAAATCTAAACACAAATACACACAGGGACATGTATGTAATTTAACCAATACTGCTTATAGGAAAAATCGTAAAACTATCATAACCTTGCATACAACAGATTTATCAAGTTTCACATACAGTTTTATACACAAAATAGCTGACATCAAACTTAAAAATCACCAACTTTACAAATCTAACACACACAGACAAATATCTGTATATAAACAGGACAAATAAACAAAAACAATAGTGCAAGAAAATGAAAGAAACAAAAAGCCAAGACAACAATACATCCTTTTACAATCCGAGTGAATGGGAGCATTTTATAAATGTAAATGGAATCTATGCTTCAGAGAATACACCATTATCAATGTTATTCACTATGAAAAGATCAGTGATATAATAGATGGGATTTTTCAGTAGGATTCTAGCAAAACCATGTATTCCAGTAAGATTAAACAGACTCATTTTGAATGGGTATGATATGTATATGGATCTTATATTTTTAAACAGCAAATTCCTCAAAACATGTCATACCTTCCACAGCTCTTTTGAAGAACACTTTGCAGCTGCCACAAGTAAGAACACCATAATGGCACCCAGAGGCCTCATCAGAGCAAACAAGACAAAGCTTCGGAGGTGGTCCCGTAGTTGCCGAGGTTGTGGATGGAGAAGAGCTTACCTCTGATCTCATTCCGGGGCTAAAAAAAGGCATAAAAATACTTTTAATTAAGATCTATGGGATGCTGGCAAACATACTACCTGTAACTGCAAGAAATGGATTGCCCTTATCCTCAAATACTACAGTTCTGCACACAAAGTTCACTAGACTCTGAAACAGTTAAACAATGAATTTTGTAAAACATAAGCAAAGCTGTATGGATTTTTCACAGCCTATTTTGACTAGGTCAAGATTACTTCCCTTACACATTTCTGAAGCCAATTTTCTTGCACAATTATCTTAGCCTTTAAAAACCGATTCCTAAAACATGCTCTTATTCCATATTCTTTTCATTACTGTCACATTCCCTGCACAGAGTCCCGCAAGAGCTTCATTTCCAGTATCATCAGAGAGTTTTCTACTGGGATATTATTATGCAAGAAGCTGTGCAAATTAAGCCATATGTTGATATATATTCACAGTAATAAATAATCATTTTGCCCCACCATTTTAGGAAAAGGCTATATCCTCCTAATTTCAGGATCTGGTTTTCCTATGTAAATGTACAGGTCATCTACAAATGAAGGGTTAGTTCTTTAACAACAACAAAAAAAATCATCATTAGAACAATAAACGATCTATCATAATCACCTTCGAGCTGCTTCTAATCATAAGGGCTGAGTCAACAGTGGTTGGGCCAAAGTTCAGAGGCTAATCTTATTTGGCACGTGTAAACATTATAGCCAAAACCTGACGCTTTACCTGTTGAAGGCTCCCTTGACACCTTCTGTTATAATGCCCATTTTGTTGAGTTTATTTTCACAAAGCTTTAAAATGCAATTTCTATACTGCATACTTAACTTAAAGGGATTTTCACAGAAAATTTTGCCCAACAGTCACTTTCCAGATGAAGCTAGAAAATAACACTTTTTCTAAGACTTTGGTGCCTTTACTCTGAAACTCTCCAGAACATCCACGTTCCCTGATGTGGGCTTAACATTGGTATCTGGGCTGGCTTTTGCATGGGAAATTCCTTTTCCTCTTGTCAAGAAAGTCTGACCAGATTTGGTCCCACATTTAAAAAAAAATAAACCAAACCATAGTTCTCAAACATTCACAAAACCCTCAAAATTCCAGCCCAAATTAAAACACCTCAACACCTGGGAGGCTTTACTTTTGAACAGGTCATCTCCATATGCCCCATCCCTAGAGAGCAATTGAGAAATGGCCCATCCAGCGATTCAAAGGACTTTTGCTGTTGTGTTTGCTCTTACCGAGAGGGAGTTAAGAGAATAAAAGCAGACAAGGAACAGGAACCCTACCACTCACATACAGAGGGATAAAAGTCAAACCAGAATAAATGTGGCAAGGAAGTCCACGCTTTGACAAATATGGAATCAGAGGGCAGAGAAAAGTGAAAATTACACGTGTTAGGGGAAAAAACCAAATCAGACTGTACAGGCATGCAGAGACCTCAGGTACATGCAAACCTCCTTAAAAAACAGAGCCTGTGATGAGCTAGAGGAGAAGGTGACCTGTATCTAAGCTGGAATAGAGAGGGCTGAGCAGAAAAGTAAAAAAAACAGAAAAGAACATAGCAACTGCTCAAACACGCCGGAATAGCTGTGGGAGGAAGGAGAGAAGAGAAAGACCAGAACAAAGGTGGTGTGAAGGCTTCAATAGGAAAGGCTGGGAATGAAGTAGGACGAGTCAACCTTAAAGAAAAGGGGAAGAAAAAAGCCCACCCAGGAAAGAACGCTTCCTTCCAGAACCTGGAAAAGAACTCAAATCCGTCACATCACTCCTTTGCATTCAGAAAATATTTGTGAAATGTTTCAACACTACTTCTACTCTATTACTCTCCAAAGAGGTTGACAACCACCATTAGCTAGTCTGGCAACTAAAGTGGCAGTCACCAATAGATTGTAATCCTGTCTGTGATCCATATGATGGCTTTCCTGTGTTTTCTAATTAATTTGTCTTCTTTTTAAAAGCAGAAAGCTATAATAAAACACTAAAGGTTGCACAATCCAGCACTCAACATCCAAGTAATGGCAGAATATAATTCAACCCAGTTACACTCACTTGACGTCCTTACAAACACACATCTTTACATGCTCATCCTAATTTCTAGAAAGCACGTCTGCCTTCCTCAGTGCAGAGGTGCTCTAGGAATGAATACTGTAACGACGGACGCTGTCATTTGCACAGCCTCATCTCCTCCAATGAAGGCCTTGGCTGATAGAAGCTAACAGTTATGGGTTTGCAGGAAAAGAAACCTCATGGTTAAGGAAGCTGAGGATTCAAATCTACTTCTGCCTCTTGTCACAAAGCTGTGCGTGATGGTATTTGGTTAATACAAACCAGCCTTTTCAGAAATCCTGCCCTCTTAACACACAGCGTGCGGTCTGGCGCAGACCTCGGAGAAATGCCCACTCCAGCCCCAAGCCAGCGGAGCTGTGCTTTGAGCTGAGCGATGCCCAGCTCCTCCGGCCGAAGAGACCCTTCCCCGCCAGGCGACTGGAACCAGCGCACGTGTTCAACACAGATCCCATTTTGGGTGCTCCCACCTTTCCCAGCAGATCTCAGCGTTACTCCGT